CAATTCAATAAAAAATATCAATTGTTGTTTTCGTTCATCAAAACCCAAACATTACGAAAAACACAGAGACTGTGTATATTGTATAACTGGAGCGATGAGAACATATTCTACAGCTGATATGGAGAAGATATGAGGACTAATCCCACTCCTCTATATGATAACAAGAACAGCACAGAAAACTCCAATAAAGTTAAAACATAAATGGAAAGATAAGAACAGTCCAATGAATGAACATCCGATACTCATGGCCTCCAGGGACGATATGAATAGGATGTTTGAATTTAAGAAAAAATTTCCGAGCAGACTAAATATAAAAAAAATGGAAAAAGGAAAAGACTTCTTCGTTGAGAAAAGCACTGTCATCCAGCACTATCATATCATACACTGATGGATCTAGAAGAAGATACGGGGGCGGGAGTATTTTGCCCTAGAACTAAATATTCTAAGCGTATGGAAAAGTACATCAGTATCTTCTAGGCTGAAGTCGATGCAATTGAGAGATGTACTCAGTTCAACCTGCACAAGGGTACAAGGTAGGGCATAGATAATAAGATAGTCAGGCATCCATCAGAGTTCAAAGATGTTGCTGGATTGCAAACCTAGAGGGTAAAGAAAAGTGGACGCCTTTGCTAGGGAAGGGAATGCTTACGTCCAGAGCTCTTATGTGATATAGGAATTCATACTATCAATGAGTATATTAGACAAAAAGACAGGCTGAATGTGAGAAAACAGTGAAATCCCCACTCACCGGACACAGAAAATCCATGTACATCCAAGCGAGTTTTAAAAGGAAAGAAACAATAGAAACAATAAAAAGCAGGAAAAACTTCTAACAAGATTCTTAACAGGACACTGCAGCTGAATTGGCATCAGAAAAAGATTGGTATGACACAACACGGCACATGCAGATTCTGCCAGGAAGCAGAGTTATCAACGCACGGTGTTCATAACTGTAGCGGTACCCTTGCTCGCAGTGCTTTGAGATGTATAATATAACCGTAGAAGAAATTTAACCATTGAGACAAGGCCTAATAATCAAATTCCTTGATGAATCAGTACTCACAAGTGTGCTAGTTACAGAACGGGTGATACAACAGCTCCCAAAGTGCGCAGTATAATAGACCAACCGAATGATTCGTTTAACAGTTCTTAATTAAGCAGTTCAGTAAACAGTTTATTAAATAGTTCATTAACCAGATACTTCGATAGTTCAATACACAGTTTGTCATTGAGTGGTTCAGTGAAGAGTTTATTGAGTTGTTCTCTAAATGCAACTCTAATGATTCAGTGATCAGTTTATTGGGTAATTTCCTTAATTCCTTGTGGAATTGGGGAATTCCTTGAACAAGTGGCGGTATAGTTCACTGAACAGATCCTTCAATGGTTCAGTAAACAGTTCATCATTGAATGGTTCAATAAACAGGTTCATCATTGAGTCTTTAACCTAATCCTTCAACGGTTAGCTGAACAATTCATAATTGAATGGTTCTTCTAACTATCTTCCAATAGTTCAATGAACAGTTCATCATTCAATAAACGCTTTATTGGTCCTCCATTAGTTTATTAGACTGTTAAACCTAAAACACTGGGTTTTTTTTGTTTTGTTTTTTCAACAATACATCATTGAGTGGCTTTGGCCGAAAAGTGTCCATGTTTCAACCTCGCATGGCCTATCGTTAATCCGGTAAGAACAGTTCCTTCTTCTACGTGTCACATCCTCCGAGGATGCTCTTGTTAAGTGCTGATCCTGTTAGGTCGTACCCCGGTCTGGTTCCGACGGTTGGGGGCTTTTACAAACAAAGAAAATATTATGGTAGACAGCAGACAGCAGCGCTGTTTTAAACATTTTCCTGCTTCATATCGTTTAGCCTTCCCACTTTTTTGTCCAAACAAAGGCTTCCGAGTTGGTAAAACTTGGCAAAATCTTAATAAATTCAGACGCCTAGGGGAAAAATGGGTATTCTTTATGGTCAATAAAAGACTTCAAGTACAAAAAAATAATATTATCAAACTTTTGTTTTGTGTCTTTTTATTTTCTTTGAAAAATTATTCCTCCATTCCTCCAAAACACGGCGAAAACAATTATTACTCATTTTTGAATACTTAAAAAATGTAAATAAAATCTACTAAGTTTGCCGATAAATATTTATATTATACGTATATTTTATTGTAAACAACGGAAATGGAAGGTCGACTAATTCCAAATTTGACTAATGGGCAGTATTTTCCTTTTTGTTAATGCTTATTATCAACTGTTTTGACATTCTTTAAAATTCTTATCGTTAATTACGCACTATTTTTAAACCTAGGAAAATAACTATAAAAATGAAAGTGCTATTAGATGATTATACGTTTTTTATCCTCAAAAATAACTATAAATAAATTTTAATTATTTTTTAAATTATATTTATATTTACTGCATTAAAAAATCGGGAACTGCCTGTTGCTTGTAATTATTGTTAGTTAAACATTCATTATATATTTATGTATTTAAAAAATGTAAATACAAAAACTATGACGACCTTTCAATATTTAAGCATAAATATATTATTATTAATTAAGGAAACAACCTAGTTTTTCGTTAAGTCCTAAAATATGACTTTTGTCCGCTTGGTAAGACTATTGGTGTTACATTTGAAGAGGGGCTGCCAATTGTATTTTTCTCGCTAAACATGCCGCCTGTTAAGAAGTCGAATTTCTTATTTGAACAATGTTTAAAAAAGGCAAAACAGGCTCATTATTCAAACAAGCTAAACTGCTGAACTATGAGAAATTACAGAGACGTAAGATTAGGCCTTTATTTTTTCATAGATCAAGACAAGAAAAAAATCTTTATCGTCTATTAATGAAAAAGGCAGAACGAAATGGAAATAGTTCGTCATCGTGATGCAGTCTCGTCCTTCGTTCGGCCTTCGCCCATTCATCGTGTATGAACAAACGCGGATCCCACGAGAATTTGTAACACGGTTTAAATTGGTTTTGTTATACGTCAAACCACTGACGTATGGAAAATGATTTTAAACCTTTTCTGTTATTTCAATTTACTTAATTTCAAAAATTGAAAAATAGAGTAACCAGAGGTATGTGGCCAATGTGTTTGTGCGTGAGCCCAGGAGGGAAAAAATCAAAAATGTAGTACGTTTCTGCAAGCATTTGACGTTCAGGGGTTTTCTTACTGATTAATTTAGCGAGTCTTTATCGATCTTTTGTTTATGTTTACGAACGGGTCAACAAACGCGAACCGGTTCATCTGGCACGCATATAATACTTTTACTGCAATCAGCCAAGGCTTCTTTTAGTGGGGAGTGACAAATTTATTAAACTCCCAGCATGAAAATATGGTAAGGAAACTATCTACATTATTTAGAAGTCCGTCGTAAAGTTGTAAACCGGTGGAAGGAGAAAAAAACGCTTTATCGTAGCCGTCCCGGAGGCAGAACACCATTCCGCAATATAGCTCGGTCGTCACGGTTGGCATAACCAACCCCCTTCAAATTTGGACTTTTTACTTGCTTTTAAAAAACTTTATTCACAAATTATGTATTCACAAAAGTGAATTAGATAGATATACATACATTTATTGATAAGCATATGTATAAATGTCACATAGTACATGTTACATTATTAACAAACAAATAATTGACCAAAGCATTACTGCTGGAGGTTGCTGCCAAAATAAATTACTTGTCTTTATAATGGTAACTGATTTTAAAATAATAATAATAATAAATAAAATAAAATTGGCTTGCTCACATACTAACCAAAAATAGAGGAGAACTTAAGTAAAAGAGGAAACCCATACATCAGTATTAAATGTACCAAACTAAATTTTATTTTTCACATGTCAGATATGTGGAATATGCAATGATTTTATATTACTTAAGTCATTTTTCCTAATTAAAATCTTGGTCCTGTTTATATTCCACACTAAAAAGTTGATTTTTTAAAGATATCCTAACAGAATGTCAACAATTATTTGCATAGTGAAAATCACAGATAAACAAAAAGTAAAACAAAATTCTGCAGTTATAATTTTTTGTAACGTAATGCGATTAGATAAAAAGGTTTCCTTTTTCCTTTAAAGTTATTTTTTAAAGAAAAACAAAATTTTCAGGAAAAAATTTGTTAATCAGAAAAATGAAATTTAATTATATTATTTTGTATTGTAATCGTAACTATGTTCTTTTATTCAGAACTTTTGGTAAATCTACACAGTTTGGAGAAGACTATTTTTTATAGCTAATTATTTGTGTAACTAATTATTAATAATTGTGTAAAAATTATTGTATTAAATGTATTGAACAATTAGAACGAGGATATGTAAAAGTTAAAGCAACACATTTCATGTCTTCTTTGGATGCTCGAAAATCTTCTCCAAAGAAAAGCTTAAGAAATGCAAAATGGTGAAGCCAGAGGCTACCATAGTAAGACATTCCTATGTAGGGCCCTCTGGCCTGGGGGTTTGCAAAAGGCCGTGCTACCTAAAGGGTACTCCATGGTCAGTAGTTGAGTTCAATGTAGGTCAGTGGTTGACACGAGTAGTCAATGCTGAGTACTGAGGTGAGTTGAGTGGAGTTGACACTTGACAGTTGCACACTGGTCAGTGCCCAGTGATAAGTTAGAAGTTGGATTTTGTTATTGGTTGCAAAAATAGACATTTGTTAGATTTTTATGGAATAAGCAAGCTTTGATGGGGCGTTGTCTGGCTTCGGCTTAGATACCTCCTTTGCGGATTATAAGAAGTTCAAAAATGTTGTTTTGAAATGAGATTACTTTTTTTATCACCCTCAATGACGGATTCGGAAGAAAAGCAAATCATGACAAATAATCGACTCTCCATTACTCTGCCCTCAATCTACATGTATTAAACCAGTTGCAGTCCGTGTAACATACAACTGCCATTTAACAGGCTTAAATTTACTATTTTTGATTGGATTTTATTATAAATGATTTTTTTAATTTATTTTCAGATCCTGACTTGTTGACATCTTCGCACCTTGGTGAGTCATCGGTGTTTGTTTTTTGGGCAGACTAATTTTTAAAAAACCATGCTAATTTGTGATGGGTGTTCCTTCCTTAAACTAACCCAGGCCAAAAAGATAGTATCGAAATTGAAAAATATAGTTACAACAGAAACCTAAAGAAAGTAAAAGTTCAAGTTTTGAGAATCGGATGGATCGTCTAAGTGGAAGAAATGAACTCTGCTATGCTTCAATGTTGGAGGAAATATGGACAAGATCGGATCCTAGCTTTAAAGTTAATCTCATCACTATTAATAAAACGCCAGGTAATTTGTTACCTTTTAAGTACCTTACACAGTTCTATTTAAATTAATTCATATATGTTGTGGAAGTGGCAAATATGGATGTGATTAATAGGTGTATGCCAGAAGATTTTATACAGAAAAAAAGGAGATACAGCAAATTGGCCACAGGAATGGGTATCAGTGTCGGGTGATAAATTGAGGACAATTAAAATTACGGAGTGAGTTTAGTTCACATCAATAAGAAATGTACAATGGGAGAATGGGTAACATGGTTCAGAATAGGCCACACTCATCGAACATATGGATTTTTAATGTGATGGAATACCTCAGTGATGAAGCACTGTACGACAAGTTAGATACAGTGAATTGATTTATGCAACAATTAAAAGAGATTGAAATGTATAACAAAATCTAGGAGCAGACATTAGGTCTAGAAATGCAGTTTGAGTGTGAATTATGTGATTTGAGTGAATGAATTGCTAGTCTGTATTAGAAAAAATATATTTATTAGTGAGAATGAGGTTGGAATGCAATAAATTTCTTTTAGTTATTTAAGAAATATAAAGGCAAAAACCTATCAGTTCATTGCCTAAAATAAATCAATTAATGTAAAGTAGAGTCAGTAACTACATCGAAACACTAAAAATACTGTTGTTTTAAAAAAATACATGTGAAAGATCAGAAAAAGAAGTAACATTCAAAAGACCTGTCATGACCTCAGCTGTTTCTTGGCCTCTAAACTCCCTATGTTATTATTAATAATTAATCCATACATGTATTTAGTAGTCATAATTGACTGTATTAGTTATTTAATTAATTATACTTTTAATCTAAGGTCTGGTTGAGATGAAAAACCAAGTGTCACGAGCAGAATTGGAACCCACAACTTTCAGCTAAATATGTTGCTGCTCTAACCGTTTGAATTATTGTGACTTAATGAATGTCATGGGTTCGAATCCCACTTGTGACACTTGCTTTTTGTCCCAATGAAGACCTTAGATTAAAAGTATAATTAATTAAAATTATTATTAATACAAGCCAATCTTACAAAAAGGTGATGTGACTCCAAATATATATTTCGTTTTTTATTTATCCAAAATATAATTAGATTTCAAGTGACTAAGAAATAGATACAGTGACTATAGTGATACAGTGACTAAACTGAGGATTCGACAAAGCTATTCTGCCTACTTAAGAAATCAATTTTTATATTTGTTAATTCAAATGTTTTACCACATGTAATAGTTAATATCTAACTAAACAGTTCTCCAGAGACCGCTAAGGGTTGACCTACCCCAACTATTGGACCTCTGGGAGCAGAAGTACCACAGGGCCGCATAGTTGAGCTGATTCTTTACCTCCTCTACATTGCAGATATACCGATTTCACCCTCCTTACCACTTTACCATTTATAAATATTGTAAATCCAGATCATTACATAATGTAAATAAGGTACAAATTGTAATAAATATAACAATTTAGAAAAAAAAGTCTCATCAAATACCAAAATTAGAAAAATTAAAATGATCAAAATCTTGAAATGTTGCATGAAATCAACTTATTCGATCATGTGAATGAAATCTCTTCACAAATATCAATATCAATAATTAATTACAGGTTTAAAGGATGAACTTTTGAGTAGCTGATAATATTCTTTTTTAAAATATTATTGTAAGAAGATAATTTTAATGATAAAGTTTGCAATGCATTTAAGGAATTTATATGATGCCCAATTATTATAAGAGGGGAAATTTTACAGACTAGCATGTTCAAATTTTTGATTTTTTGGACGAAAAACAATTTGACATATTACATACTCTTCAGTCCCATCAAGTGCCAAACTATAAATTAAGTCAAGTAATTTCTGTCAAATAGAAGGGCTTAACTAATCCACTGGGTGTCTGGTACAAGGGGTCAAATTACATTAAAATACATTTTTCATTAAAAAGCCATGCCTAAAAATCATTAAAAAAGTGCCTGGATACAAACCCAGCTTGGCAAATATGAGTCGGATGTCCTAACCATTTGACCACCATGATCCCCCCCCAAGTATTTAACTCAATTTCCTTTCGTTACACTTCACAAATTTGGGGGCTATATTTTTTGAGTGGAAAAGTTTAATGGTTTTTTTTGTATTTAAACTGTTTTACCTTCCTTGTTTCTCCCTATATTATTTTATTGATTGAATTATATCAAATCTTTGTTTACACTCTTAAAACTTACTTCATAAAAATGGTATAAATATTAATTTTACTATCCTATGGCGCACAAAGTATAGAAAAAAGGGTTATTTTGGACTTCAGTATGGAAAACCTTAGCACAAAAGTCACTAATTTCCTCGACTCTAATTCTGATAACCCAAAAAAAGTCAAAGTTTGATTGCTAACAACTGTAAAAGATTCCCTAAAAACGTTTGCTGTCCAGGGTTGCAGACTTCATTATACACTATACAAAAAACCTAACCAAAAAGTGAATTGTACAAACTTTGTGTGTAATGGTTAGTAAAGTTAAAGGGGAACTGTTTATCCTGAATTTTAAACCTTCCAATGTTTCAGAACGGAAAGGTTGTTCTCTTTGTAATCTGGAAGCAAGAGCACTATTCAATTCATTCCAATTTGCCCTTTACTCTTCAAATACAGATTATTCTTTGGTCGCAGTGTGTTGCATACAGGACTTTATAAATTTATTGAATGGATTTTGGGTGAAATACACCAGGATTTACGGAAAAGATCAGGTCCATGAATTTAATTTTTTTGAAAGCAAATTTAAAAAAAGGATATATCCAGTGAAATGTTAAAAAATGATATATTTTCATACTATAACCAATGTATCGTGTTATTTGATTTTAGAGGTTCAATTTATTCTAAAGTTTCTTTTCTTATATATACGAATATACTGAGTGAATGACTTTTATGATTAAAAATCCAGTAAACTGATAAATCTCAATACCACCCTAAAAAGGTTTAAAATAGGATATATAAAAAACCTGTATTGAGCACTTATTTTAGATTCATTACTAAAAAGCTTTTTGACTCTCCTGAAAAGTACAGATTTTTCACATTCAGTAATTTGATGTGATAGGGATGATATGGAATTAAAAAGCATTTTTCAGTCAAATTAATCATTTTTTCAATCAATTTAATAATCTCTCATTCAATTTAATAATTGTCTCAACCAACTTAATAATCGTTTCATTTAATTTAATAATCGCCTCAGCTAGTCATCCCTTTCGGGATTTTATAGCCGGGGAGAAAATAAATACAAGCTAGAAGGTGTGAAAACCTTTAATTAAATTTAACAAAAATAAAATTATTTCATCAAAAAATATAAATATTTTAAAGATTAAAACCAGTAACAGGTCACTCTTTTACAATTTTTTACGCGAGCTGTGTACAAAATTTGATTAATGCCAGGATCCACAAAACTGCTGAAGTTATTTATTTGATTTATTTTAAAGGTACAAATAGGCCCATTACATGTACTTATATTAGAAATAAATTAAGTTTTATAATTTTAATAAAATAATAATAACAGCAATAATAATAAAATATAAAAACAATAATGACCATAATATATGTTTAAATATTAATTATTTATAATCAAATGATGAAACCACATTATGAAAGAAAAACAGAAAGAGTAAAAAATGAAACGGGATAAAGGAAAGGAAGAGGGAAGAAAAGCTATGGATGCCATGGAGCTGAAACAAGCCAGCGAGGAAGCAGAACCTACTTCCCGGGGAAGCAAATTCCATAGTCATGACCCTGCAATTCTGAAGGATAAGGCTAAAGATTTAGAAGAGTGTTAAAAGCTTGGGATATGATTGGTGCTTTTGGATAAGGAATGAGGGAAAATAGTTGATAGACATTGAGGACGTTTGTTTAATTTTAAATGTATATATTAAAACTCTAAGTTCATAAGTGTTTAGAATGTTAAGGTTGCTGAAGGCACACACAGGATGAAATATGATCTCCTGGTTTAAGATCATAACAGTATCTAATGCAGGAATGATAAGCGATTTGAATGCGATGAACACAGTCAAAGGAAGGTGAAAAAATAGCTCTACAGTAAGAGAATAATGAAATTATTAGGGATTTAATAAGGAGAACTATAGTTTTCTGTGGAGTGAAAAAGCCGAGGCGTCGAAGAGAATGGTGGCCTGAGTAGATCTTTCTAAAGTTTGTGGTTTTAACAAGGTTGTGGAATCATTTTCTCAAACGATTATTTTCCTGCCATCATACTTGCCAACTCTAAACTCTGCAGAATATTCATTCTCCAAGATTAAGACAGTTGCGAGGATGCAGTTAGTTGAAGCCAAAGGAACTCACAACTTAAGTGAAATAATAAGCTGTAGTGTCAACCCCTTTTCAAGCAATTAGAAAATGGATGTCCTTTTGTTCGTCCAACGGATGTCACAGGACTGGCAAACACTACTGCCACTTCATTATTTGATGTTAAAATTATCACGTTTTTAAATATTTTTATTTTTTGAAGAAATAATAGAGCTATGAAAACTCTATTAGCTGAAACCAAAGGAACCCACAACTTAAATGAAATAATAAGCTGTAGTGTCAATTCCTTTTCGAGCAATTAGGAAATGGATGTCCTTTTGAAACTGCCAACAGCTGCCGCAGGACTGCCACTCAATTAATGGATGTTAAAATCACCATTTTTTAAATATTTTTATTTTTTGATTAAATAATTTTTTTTTATGAATTTAAAAAAAGGTTTTCG